CCATCTTATCATGTTTTTTTTCTAATCAACAGCATTTTCCCATGGGAAGATTTCTTATACTTAATTTCAAAACCTTTATATATATATTTTTAAATAAAATTCTAAACATTTTCCCACAGGAAGGATTCTTGTAGTTAATTTCAAAATCTTATTTCAAGTCCATCTGGCCCCTTAGTCCATTTATAACTTTCCAAAATCAACATTCTAATCACCCTTTTGCTGCTTACTCCAAAATAATTGTTTAAGTCCTTAAACCTGCATAAAACTTCTTTCACTAAGGATTGGAGGAGACTCACTTGGTGTAATGAATCTTGCTGTTCTAAAGGTTCCTAATATCCCAAAAGCAGTTAACAAGCAATTTTCAGAAGTGATTAAGAAAGGAAGTATGCGAACCCAGTGTCCTTGTGAAGGCACCGAACCACAGCTTGGGCAAAGATGGTGATCCTTCGGCTCCCAGAGCTCTGATCTCACCAGTAACTGCTGTTGTCCAGTCTTCTTGCAGGGAGCTACTATTTGGAGCACTTGCAGGCGATCCCATGTCTTTTTCTTGCCTGGAGAGGAATTCCGAGAAGCTGGTCTATTCACCATCTCCTCATTCTGCTGCAGCTGTTGGCTCCGCTCTCAGCAGAGCCATCTTCAGTTTGCCATTGCTTCCCCAGAAGTCCGGGCCCCTGCTTTCCAGAGCCATTTTATCTTGGGCTGCCAGACTGAATGCTCCCATCAGAAGGAAAAGTCCAGGGCTTAACACACTAGCCATTAACTCTCCTGAAGGGAATGAGTTCACATAACTTGCTAGACCTTTAACAGACCTGGTTACATGTATGGTGTGAATACAACCATTCAGGCTGGTGGTTACACATGGGTCAAAACAAACCTTTGCTCGTATGGCTTTCCTTGAAAAACTTACTACTATCTACGAACTTAAACCATCCAAATGCATACCTTGCATGCACAGCAACTGGCTTTAACATGAATTTGTGAGCTTGTGAGCTTGACTCCTAGAGACTTTATTGACACATCCGTGTAATTTCCTTGACAGCAGTACAGAAGTAGCATCTCATTACTTTCCTGTTTATTCAATTTCCAAGTCTAACCTACAGTCTTGGGACTTCCTAGTAGTCTCCATCCAGTCAGTACTAACCAAGCCCACCCCTGATTAGCTTTTTGAATTCAGCCAAGGTAATCTAACTGCTATCATCTAATTCAACTTTTAGCCCTAGGCTTTTCCAATAAAGGTCAGCCATCTAGGAAACCCTTAAATGCTGCCTGAAAGAAGCTGGCATATCTGGCTGTTTTGTTGGTCAAGGTCTCCTAACGATTAAAAGGACAGCACTCTAGTCTTGAGTGCTGGGCAGGTCTCTGAGCATGATGTTAGACATAGTCAGGAAACTAAATCTCAAGGAAGGCTTATAAGAAGCTGTTACCGGTATAAATTCCAGTCGTTCAGGATGCATGCACATACAGTACTTTTTCATTTATGATATTTAGAAGTTCAGACTTAGGGTGATGTGAATGCAGCCAACGATGTGATTTGTCCAGCTATAACCATGTGATGTGTGAAGCCGTGGTTAAGCAAAACAGGACTATGTGAAAATCTAGCCAATACTTTATGATTAGTAGCCCTGGGAACCTTCAGTCAGGAAGCATCCCAGGTGGTTTCAGGATCCATTTCTTGCTAAAGCGCCTGAGACAATCACACTGAAAGGCAGGGGTGGAATTCTAAAAGGTCTTCCCCACTGATGGTACCACTTTTCCCCCAGCAAGTTTTGGGAGAGCCCCTGGGGCAATTTGATACCATCTGTGTCCTAATAAGACCGCATTTACATGTCTGTGTCTCCAGTTAAGAATGTAGGCATGGCTTGAATATTTGCCACATTCCTCTCTTTAGCCCTCCCTCTTTTCCCTGGCTTCTACACATTAAAAAAAAATTTTTTTTAAAGGAATTCTTGGAAAAGTTTGCATTTATATTCCAGTCTTTCACTGAACTAACAGGAGTATAGCTTCAAGATGGATTTTCAAATGCTTGAACCAAAGGAGACAGGCTTTAGGTTTAGAGGAGCTCACATCTTATAAAAGTTTCATAGACTTACTATAAGATATCAGATAGGTGCATTATTATGAATCAAAATACTGTGGAAGAATGCTAATAATTAAGTCCAATTCTGAAAAGTTATCCTAGTGAATGAATGATGTGGAAATGTATTCCATTCCCTATTCATGGACGTTCATCCACTAATCTAATTTTACTAATTAAAAACTGATATAAAAAGTAATTTTTATCCTAGATTTTTTGTATATAAATTTACTTAACATGCTGATTAACTTCTTAGTTAAATGCATAATTACTGTTTCTAGTACAATGAAGTCTAACTGATGAAACTCACAAGGAAAAAAACAATAAAATCAAATTCTGTCAATGCTATGAATATTATGTTTAGACCAGTAGAAGTAATTTTTCTTCATGCTATAAATTTTTATTAAAAACTGAATATACATTGTTTAAATAAATTAACTGGCAATTAAATTTGTGCACAGCAATATTCTCTTATAAAACTGAAATGTCTTTTCATATTTGACACCAATAGAGGATAAACTGCAAATTGAATTTCACAATGTTCTAAAATGGATATGTGCAATTGTGCATGTATTTGAACATCTATGGCCCTATAAATAGGCACCCTGATGCAGCACATATACCATACTTGGAATAATGGATGCAAGTATGCCTAAGGGCTGCTTTTGGAATCTGTACAGACTTGCATCTATTGGACATATTAAATACTCTTAAAGACAGGAAAAAGACAATATATCGCAAATGGTAGGAGTAACACTGTTCTAATCATAATTGTGGAAATAATGATTTCATACGAAAAGATAAGTGCTTAGACAGAAGTGTTTCACCAGGTTAGCTGCTCAAACTTAATACATTACAGGAAGAGAGACTTGTCTGATATTTCAAACACTTGAAAGACAGAAATCCTCGAGGCTGTTCTTTTCCTGTTCATATTGATCCAACTGAAAATATTCAAAGGTTACTTGATTGATATGCTTTCCACTTGAAACCAGCCTCAATACAGTGTTGTCACAGCCGATCTTCATTTGAGCTAGTCAAAGAGAAATAATTTAGGTATTACTTTAATTGCTTTCGAAAATGTATAATTATAGATCTTAAACAACCTTAATGGATTGCACTATTATATGCATTTTCAAAAGGTATGTATGATTTCTTGATACTCTACTGCCCCACTCCAGAAAAAAATTATCTGTATGTGTGGGTAAAAGCAACTTCCACCCAAACTGAGTATCATGCATGAAGATTAGATGTGCATGTGCATTTCTGCTGCAGTGAATATCTGGATATATGATATCCAATGAGGCATCTTCATTCCATATTGAACCACCCATTATTGCAAAGGGAGTAGGGAAAATCTTACTAATACACTAATCACTATCAAAGAGTGCCTTTACACTGATTTCATTTATGGGTTCAAAATAGCATTAAATATTTTTCCTATTCTGGATCCATTGCCCTTACTCTGAAATGGCTTAATCTGACTTCAGTAAGATCAGTGTATGAGCAATTTAATTGACAATATAATGTGATAACAACATATTATTCTTTACAGGATCTCTGACTGGATAGAATAATTCTTGAGGCGTTAATTTAGGAGGCACTGTCCTTATATCAAATGTGTTTGTCTTAATTAATGCCCATTATACCAAATCTGAATGGTCACACAGTAATATGTCAGCATATGAGCTATATTATACTTGATTCCCTGAAAGATAAAATTCACTGTAACTATAAAACTATGGTGTAAAAATAGTAGCAGAAGGCAGAAACAACTGGCAGTGAATGGAACTGAAAGTTTGTGAAGATTTTTTATTTGTTTGAAAGAAAATAGTTTACACATAGCAGTATTTACAACTCTCAGATAGAAAAGAGGAAGTCTCGCTAAATTGCAAGAAAGGGAAAAACACAGAGTAAACTGTGCCTCCCATTTTTGGCAATTGTGATTAGACACAGATAGGGAACAGCAAAAAAGATGTTTGGGGACTACACAAGGTCTTTGTAGTCTCAAGTTTCCCACTTTGCTCTATGGTATTTGTGAGACCATCTTCACATAGCAAGGATGATATTGACTGATTGATGCCCACTCGTGGCTTGAGTCTGCAGCTGAGCAAAACTCTTTCCACAGGATAAGGCTTTATTTTTTCTCAACATGCATTGCTACTCTTCTGTGTTAGTCTCAGTCATGAGAAGTAATAATCCAAAAATAGTATTAAAATAACATGTCATTCCTTAATGCACAGCCTTCATTCCTTAATGCATAGCCAAAAATGCCTGACCTTCCTCATCCTGATAGCCTCTAGATGTGTTGGAAAAAGATTTTTGGGAGTTGTAGTTGCAGTGCATCTAAAGGCCATGAGACTGATTAAGCAGACAGCAGTGCCAGAAATTAGGATGCAGATAAATATCAGAAAAGCTATTTTTTATCTTTAATATACTTTGTCATGCTTTTTTTACTTGAAGAACTGGAAAATCCTAAGCAGTCAGTTTATATAATTATCTTTTTTATACCTATGGCTTCCATACCTGGGCTGCCAAAAGCTGGATGACTATTAGATGAAAACAAAGAATTATCCTCTTTGCTGCCCTCTAATGGTTATCAGGTATTTTGTAGACATGGTAGCCTTATTATATCACTTTGAGGAAATATTTGAATGAGAAGCATTAGCAGAAGAGTTTACCGGGGCCACTGAAAGAATGGCAAAGATCAGCCAAGGGAAGCATCTTAGAAGGGTCTAACCCGTTTCCACCCAGCAACTCCATAAAATCTCCAGCGCTCCTGCAGCCTGCAGTTGGTTTCTGTGTACAAGGAAATGCAGAAGGACATGGAACCATGTTAAATGGATAATTTAAAATGCAAGTTTATTTTAGTAAATGATACGTATGAGATCATGCAAAATAAGTGTGTTTTAGTTTTGATTACTGAAGTTCTCTTCCAATTTTTCCAAAGTAGTTCAAAATGGACTTGTAATCATCTTCCCAGCCCCAAAACACTGACAACTCACAAAGATTGCTATAAGCTCATCAGTGCTCCTTCATGTTAGCCAAGAGGATAGTGCAAAGACTCTTATTGAGATTCCCTGAGCTCCCAGAGATCCTGGGGTAACAAAAATCGACTCACGTCTTCCATGCAAAGGGGAATAAAAGAAACTGCTAGTTTCTATGCATATTGAGCAAGTGAATGTTAAATGAAGTATCACTTAAGGGCATAAAGATTCAAGAAGCTCTTTAAGATTTCTCTCTTTTTAACAAGTTTCTACTTATCAGACGGGTGACTCTGTTCTAAACGCAGAGCTCACTAATGCTGGAAGCTTTTGAACCGCCCAGAGTCGCTCTGCAGTGAGATGGGCAGTGACAAATTTGAAATATAACTAAATAAAAATAAATAAATAAGGATGTAATGAATGGTGGCAGTCCTTGTGCCATTGGCAGAGAGACACTAAGCCTGGATTTTTAACTTGGCTTGAATAAACGATAATTACTTATTACACAACATGCTAAGCCAAAAACAAATAACCACTTTATGGGTTTCTGCTACATGGTAACTAACGACTCTACTATTTATGTCAAACTAGGAGATCTCCCCATTTGCAAGAATATATTTCAGAAAACATTTTGTCAATTTTTATGACCAGATACCTATGCTGAACAGGAGGAGGGAATGTTCAAAATCCACAGATGGGTAGCGCTTTCCAGAGTTAATATCAGACAAATGGTTCTGGTATAAAAATACCGAGACAGGAAACAAATAAAAAAATAGGCCAGATGTGGCCATGAGGACTAGGAGCAAATCTGCTGAATCACATACCAGTGTAGCAGATGGATAATGAAGAAACTGGCAACTCACCTTCAAGTGAAAGCCATTCAGATGACCCAGCCTAAGATCTGATATTTTTATCACTGCTGGGTAGATAATGGAAAAACTGCAGTTCCGATGCTGATGAGGAACAATCATCATAAACCTTCCACTCGGAGTCTGAGAGATGACATTGCAAGCTTTAGTCCAGGGGAAAGATACAGAATTACTGAGTCACAATTTGTTCACTAAAAAGGAATGCAGACTTTTTATCTGAGGTTTTGGGACCAAGACAGATAAGATGCTAATCAGCTGTGCTGAGATCTTCCAACAGTATCTCCCACCCCAAAAATCAGGCATGAGGTTTTAAATTTAGGTCGCAACTACCACACTGGCAGCAACAGAGAATAACCATTGCTTATTTGCCCTACAGTATTTTAATGCAGTAATCTCCCCAAGGTGCTATGTCATCTAGTAGAATAAAAATTCCATAGGGGCAGATAGCTTCTAGTCTACATAGGGAAACATAAGTCTTCTCCTCCAGCATCAAAGTGTCTAACCTGAATTGCTCCCACATTTGCAGGGCAGGGAGGAGGGATGGTAAAAACAAAATCAGTGAGTTTGCCTACTCTTTTGTGCCATGTCAGTTCATCTTTATAAAGGTACACTCAGCCCCACAAGGTAGACCAGGCCCAAAAATCAACTCCACAGAAAGGCTAAAACTACTTTTATTGATAGTGGCTATAATACCAGAATATTGCAAGTCTACTTACTTTAAGCTTTCCTCATTTTGGTAGTAGAATTTTAGGAAGGACAGAGGAAATCATTTTGTCACTGCTGTTGTTAAAGCATTTGTAGCCAATATCTTTGCTAATAAACGGATACTATTTTCAAATCTCCTGGGTCTCCTCCCTTCTCATCTGCATCTTCAGGGTATTTCCTAGAGTATATTTTGCACGCTCTTATTTTACCTTCAGGGAAGAATTCTAATTCTTTATGACTTGTTCTAAAATGCCTATGCCAAATCATACCTAAAGAGCCAGAATAATGGCCCTCCATTGTCATTTGATCATGGCCCAGCAGGCAAAACCGTTGCCCAGTTAAGTTGCAGTACCTAGCCAATCTTGGCTGTTCTCAAAAAACCCCACGGGGTGAACTTGAATGGGAGGCTGCCAGAAAACCTCAGGGCTGGTAGAATAGACTGGGAAGTTGGAAAAACATTGGAGAAGACAGCAACAGCAAGCCCCTGTTTTGGGCAAGAAAACATAGTCATGTCGATTGAGCCTCAGTACCTATAGTATTCCTATTTATTTGTTCATAGCGTGGCTACATTATTCCTCTACTCAGAAATCATAGCCATCTTTTGGGGGTTTTTTTCTTTTCAGAAGATAAAATGAAAACAAGCTTACGGAAAAGATTGGGCTGCTTCTTTATTGTTAATGTGAATCCATTCCCTGCATCTTGAATCCTGAAGAAGATCATTGCAACATTCTGAGATGACCTGATGGTGCTCCTGATAGCTCCAGCTTCACAGAAATCTTTATACCTTTCAGAGGTGGGGAGAGGGTGATCCAAAGAGCTAGGAAACTTCTCACCTTTCAGTATCCAGCCATCAAAAACCTAGAGGGATGTAGTAGTACAGAAGAGAATTAGGATTTATATAAGATTTCCTCAACTTGATGTCTTCCATATTTACTGAGACTGGAATTCCAAGACTGATGACATTCTGCCTCCAAATCCAAAAGCACATTTGTCCATTCAAATAAACTTTGTTCATCATATTTCATATTAAGCGTTTAAATCCAAATACATTGTTTGTAATTGAATTTAAAGCCCTTGGATACTGATCATTATTGTTCATATTACTGATATTATTGGCATCTAATTAGTGGCATTTCAGTAAATATGTATACATTTTTCACTCAGATTATTCCTTTATTATGCTTCCCAGAGTCACTTTTAAATATGATAAATAAATAAATAAATTCCTTTTAGTGAGTATAATACTACTTAATGAAATAAGAAAAGGTGGACTCTTTTCATTATAGAAAGAGCTTCTTGTAAGCACAGAAATTCCCTTCTACCCCATGCTAATCTAAGAATTTCACTAATCTGTTCCACATATGACTTGGCATTAACATCAATTATAAGTCACTACTTCATACACCAATAGTTAATTACTTTGACATTCTCTGTAATTTCCACTTCAAATGTTTTAATAATTGGGCTTAATTATGAAAGAGAGATTTCTAAACCTGACATTTAAACTTGAAGTGGAGTGATCAATATGCAGTGTCACACAGATTCTGGCCCCTTCACTCCAATTCTAGAGATCATGCATTCCCCTCAGTGGTCCTGATCCAAACATTCTTGAGCTGAGCAGCCAGCTATGCATATACCACAGTAGAGGTCCCTAAACTTTGAGAGCTAGAAGACACTTCTGAAGTGTTGTAACCTTGTTTTGGGCACTCTCACAAAATGACCACCAACAAGGGAACCTTGTGAAGATACTTGCTATCATCTCTACCACCTTCCAGACCAACTCACTTTTGATTTCTCCTGCCACCCAGGCAGATGGGTAGTACATTTCCATGCAGAGCTCTGGGCTATGGCCATCTATCATGTTTACTTTCTTTGAATTCTCCCAGGGCCCATGTGAAACCTAGCAATATTCTTGGAGATAAGATAATGCAACTAGCACTTGGCTTTGCAGAATGGCCATTTTACATTTGAAGTTTTTAAAAGTGAATAAAGGTAACTGCTTGTTGCTCTAATCATTCCTGGTTTTTCAGACAAATACAGAAACACGTGAGATACTCCATGTTCCAGATCCAAGGAATTAAAATGTTCACATTACATGAAGTCAAAGAAACAAATGTTTGAATTGAGCTTTAATTATATTCTCTTAGGAATCACTAATACATTCCACTTAAAGCCTTGCAGACAATTAATTTTCAGGCAATAAATGCATGGTGTATGATTGTTATCTATAGGTAGGACTTCCCTTCAGGGTTATGTTTTGGGTAAAGAAGTGGTGTTTTCCTATGCTGCATTTTATCCTAGAAAATGCAATTATTTCTCCAGATAATGTGCTAATGAGGTTGTCGTATGTAACAACTGCCAAAGGGTAAGAAGCTGTCTCCATCTATTGCAACAACAGAACAAAGTTTATTGCAATACTTTAAACTCTGGTAAATGTATAAAGTATTATGATAAATTGATAATATCCTTCCCATAATCACACTTTTCTGTGGCCTGCCAGCCTGCCTGCTTCCTTCCTCATTTATATTTTTATTGCCTGCAGAAACTCTAACAATATTTTGTTAATACTTTATCTCTGTGATCTTAAATACTTAATTTCCTTATTGAACATAATGTATTCCCTGCTGAATCTCAAACTCATGAAAGGCAGTGTGGTACAGTGATTGAGGATTGGGCTACTACTGATGAGACCCAGGTTCAAATTTCTGCCCAGCCACAACTTATGGGCTGACCTTGGGCCAACCTCATGGCTAGCCTATCTAGCAGGCTTGTTGCTAGAAAAAAATGGAAAAGGCACCCTTGAAAAAAGTGGAATGAATAAACAAAAATGAAATCCATGGTACAAAGTAGCAAGGCCATCAGAAGCAGACTGTAGAGGAGAGATTTTGGACCAAAACCCGACCTCATTCTACTCACCACATTTGGAAACCTTGAAAGAGAGATCTGAATCATTACCTTCTATTTTGATTTATTGACATTACTAGTGCCAAATACATCCTCTCTTTTAAAAAAAGAAAAGTTAACTTGTGGTGTGCATTCCCCCACGTCATCCCCGTTTGCCATAGTAACTCTCAGTCTGTGGAGAATCTCATACCTTCAAGAAATCTCCAGCTTGACAGTCAATGTTGACAAAATCAAAATCTATGCTGAGGAACTCCTCTGGTTCTCCTATGAAGAATGTAGCACAATGTACCTGGGGCTGACCTGCGGTGAAGGTGAACTGCCCTTCTATACTTAGCATGTCAAGGCATCCTGCAGATGAGAATACAAGCAAGTAATTCCTTTTTCTTAGGAGACGAATCTCTTTTCACATGTTGGTCTCAAGGGCAGGGAGCATTACAGGGAGAAGCTATGTGCATACCAAATGAAAGACAAGCTTTTGTAAAATACTTTGAGTGACAATAAGGAAAGGGGGGACAGTTTTCTGCCATCTGGATGCAATAAGCATACAAAACTATTGGAAGCCCTAAAAGAAGCACACACACCCCAATCTAGAAACAAATGGAGAACGTTTGCAGAACTATTCACTTTATATTACTCTCTCAACCACTACCACTGCAGGTCTCAGCCCCCTGTCCCCACCCCAGTAATAAGATCCCCAGACTCCAAAACTTTCTCACCCCTGGGCCCTCTTCCTAGTTTTCTACTGTCATTTTTAAATCTCATCAGACAAATCGCTTCCCTTTTCCTTCCCTTCCCCTTCTCTCCTCTTTCTTCTCCATATGGGTTTGAAAGTTCATGTGAGAAGAGCCAGGGGGCCCATTCATCCGTCCTTCCTCCCCACTCCTTTTCTAACCCCAATCACACTGTCAAAAACTATTATAGACAAGCTGCTCTACCAGAAAACAAAAGTCCAAGGTCCACAGTTGTATAATGCCTTTATTAGGATTAATTAAAATGACATAAAAGAATGTGCAAGCTTTTGAGTTTTTCTTACACTGAGCCTGATGCTTCCAAAATGCAGGATAGAGAAGCAAGAAAATCCAAGGGGCAAATTTTACAGCTCTCAGGTTAGATACTTAGTGGGCTCTCTGTATAAGGTTTCCAAGAACAATTGTACAATCATTTATCTCTGTAAAAATGGAGGAGGCCAGCAAGAAATCATAGCTTAAAGCTATGAGATATTTGAACTGTGGCTGTCCTGTTCTTCCTCATGGAAGAAGCAGGGGGAAGTTTCTCTTCCTTACTTTCTCATTCTGCTTTTATTACAATAAATAGTAATACAGAAATTAGAAGACAAAAACAGTGTGTTTTCCCACTTCTGAGCTGAAATACTTACCATCCATCCTTCAGACATGCAGCAGCATTCAAGGGAGGGGGAGGGAGGGGGAGATGATGAAAGCACCATTGCACCGTGAACTCCACCCCCTTTGTACACGCATTATTATCTCGCATTCATATAGTAGCGGGGTGGGCCTTGCAGTGGAAAGCTGCTGATGTCATTCCGACAAAAGCAGCCAGCTCTTGCAGATAATGCTGCCGATGCTGTCACCACTGCTGATCCCCTCCCTCTCTCCCTCCCTCCACTGCCTCTGTTTCAAATCACTGCAGGTACCTGACATCCCTCCAGAATAGTTGGAATTTCCAACCTTAGACAGGGTAGGAAAAAGGGGGAAAGCACTACTTTAACATGAGGCAGCCAAGATGACTTAAGCTTATCTCACGTACAGGCTAGGAATAGGATGAAGGCAACATCGTGGGAACACAGCAGAACAAAGAGGTTGCTGTGCCAGGATGAGATGCCAGTGGGGAAAGTCCCAAAGTAAGCAATATTACAGTAATGCAACAGAAGACAAACTTTTACACTTTCTTCCCTTCTTCTTTTTCTAGAAGATTTCAAAGTCTGCATTCTGTTACCCACGAAAAACAGACCCAGGAAAAGTATCATGTATCAGTGATAGAGTGGATTCATATATTGTGCTAAGCCATGGTTTGTTTAATCATAACTGATTAAACACTCCACAATTTGCTGGGTTCAGGCAATGCGCTAAGCCATAAAATGTGGTTTACAAACCACAATGGCTCATTCATACGATACACTAAGCCAAATCCACACAAACTATATTACGACTTAGTATAATGTGTAAATGTTGCGTGGATAAGGGTCTTTGTTTAATCCTTGGGATGCCAGTTAAAAGAATGAAACAGAGGTGATATTAAGAAACAGAGGTGATGTCAACAGCCTTTGGAGAACTAACACCAGTGAGAGTGATCAGTGTCGGGCTACATGGCATAAGGTAGCTTTCTCTGTTCTTAAGTTAATTCTTATAGCCAGTGAAAGTTTTCACTTAATTTCTGCAAGGTTTTTCTCTTGCAACTCATCTTATTCTGAACCCCATGTTTACTATTTTTTCCCCTTGTGCCAATTGCTTTCCCTCTTGTTGCACTGCTGAACAAAGGTACTGGGCTAGGAGTGGAAACAGCCTTCATGCTTCATACTTCATGGCCATCGCCTTCTTCTTAGGATAGGCACTGAGATCCTCTCAGGTCCCTCACCACAATCCTCCCTTAAAAGAATTGCTTATGGCATCCTTCCCCAACTTAGAGCCTTGCAGCTGAGTGGTCCAGAGATTTTTGGGACTGAAATCCAATACCCACAGAAGGCATCTGGGGAAAGATGGCTTGGAGTTTTGCTCCCAAAAGGGAGCCGCTCCATCTTAATTTAAACCCAGGGTCAGGAGCAGCCTTTGGAATCTATCTCAGTGTAAGGGTTCAGCACTGGCATGCAGTTTAAGCACAAGGAAGGCGACCATGCTTAAAAATATGTTTAAAGGGATCTCCTCCCAACCCCAAAGAACCAGCTGATATCTCCTAGGAAGCTAGAAGCTAAAGTTCTGCAAGGCCATTCTCTTTGGCCCCTTCCTTTCCTTCCCTCAGAGCACCAGCACAGCACTGCTACCACTATCCATATCCCACCTAACTTTTCCTCCTGTCATATTTCCTCTTCTAGGATATCTTCCTCCACTGGTGGAAATTCCACTGCAAGGAGAACTTCATAATGTTCCTTTCTCTAGTCTAGTTCCAGATGTTATCAATGTTCTCCAGATACAACTGGCAGTCCCCCTTGTCTGAAAAGCATCAGGTTGGAAAAAGTTGGACTACTCCCTCAGTCACAAGCATTCTCTGGCATCCCCCATCCATCAAAGTGAATAAACACACCATAAACCTTTTTGCTTTCTTGCTGGCAGTTCCAAGAGGAGGGATTTCACATTATCATCTCCCTCTGAAATCACTATTCAAAACTTATTTTGGCAGTATTCATGACATCCCACAAACAGGAAGTTCTGATCTCCCCTTTCCAGATAATGTGCTCGTTGGCAACAGAAATACAGTTCAGGAGGTGGAATGCGAAGAGAGCAAGGCATTGGTTCCTCCAGAAAGTTTTCCGGTCCAGCTGATCACCCTCCAAAAGCACTCCGCACCGTTTTTCATCCTGGGACTGGGCTCAAGGTCACTTGAACCCAGGACTAACCTTCTAAGGCCGTCCCTCTGCCCACAGCTTCCCCAGGAGTGGGGAGGGGTTACAACTCCCATCAACCCCGGACATCTGGCGGGGGATCACCATCCCGATTAGCTTCTTCCCTTGCACCTTTTCCACGACTCCCTCAACTCCCTCCCC